CGTTGCTGCTCTCTTCAGTAGAAACTACTTCGGAGTACCAATTGGATCATTTTTCAGCAGCACAAGTCGGACAAGTGGCGATGTTTACCTGTCAGATGCGACAACTGTCACTGTGAATCATTTTCATTTCTTAGGTCAGCCAAACTGTAAGTATACTTTCCATGAAAAATGTAATAAAAATTAATGTATTGCTAAAATAAACTTTGCACATTGCTGCAGGAGCTGATGGAAACTCTAAAGTCGAGGGACTTACAATATTTAGCATTGAAAGTTGATACAATAGATACATCATAGAGGCAAAATGGACCATGCTTCGACTGATCCGACAAAATTCCTTCGCTCATGTACCTCTTGCCAATGCTAAGCCATGCCTGTCCATCAACGACTCCATTCTTTTCCTGGTTTTCCATCCAACCCTCTCCATTTCCTTCTCCTTTTCCTTTTCCTTTTCCTTCTCTTTCTCCTTCTCCTTTTCCTTTTCCTTTTCCTTTTCCTTCTCCTTCTCCTTCTCCTTCTCCTTCTCCTTCTCCTTCTCCTTCTCCTTCTCCTTCTCCTTCTCCTTCTCTTCCTAACTAAGGATCATTCATTTGTTCGCTAAATTTTTCGCTGGCTACCTCGTTCATGCGTTCGTTTGATCCAGTTTTCGTTCGTTCGTGCTTTGTTTTTCAACGTGCAGTCATTTAATAAATCATCAAATACTTACATTGAACTGGTCCATGATCAGAGGGTCTATCGATGCGATCTCTCTTGTCAGTATGTCTTACAATTGTCTTGTGTCTTTCGGTTCCCTCTGAAAATGCGACGGCGCACTTCAGGTCTACGGTCTTAAAAATATCGTTGATAGTGACAGTAAAATTTGATCCTGGCCTGCGCCTGGATAGCATTTTAATTAATTCTCTTTCAGGTACTACCTTCGTGGTTGGTTCCTACAACGGTGAATACCAAATCGAAATGCGAGAGAAAAAATACGCATTGCATCGCCATCCTTTAGATAGACTGACATACGGAAGAGCGCGCCAGAGAAGAAACATTTTGCGACTGCTAGCAAAATTTAATTCACGTAAATACGGTAATTATTTAATTAATTCGTAATATGCACTGTTACAGGGGATCACACATTACGCAGTCTTTTTGCCGCTGACGAAGAAAGGAGTAAGTGTGCAATCCTTATTTCCTCGATTTGCGTGTATTTCTTAATTTGAACGCCTTATGGGAAACAAACTTAGCACAGCAGGCTGTACAGTTTGAAACTATGCAGTACAACGGCAACTATGAGGTAATGCGTAATGGGTGGAAGACCCTTGGCCATTTCCTCATACCTCATGAACGGAGAGATGAAATAGAAGATGGTTGTAATATTCTTTCAAATATGCATAAGTCAAAAGAACAAAAATAATGAAGGTTGACCTTGAACTCATTCACTAACTGAACATCAGCCGATCAAAATCGATTGTTTCAAATACCAGAGCTTAGCAAGTGAATATGGTGGTCACTGCAAAACTGGGCTAAACTGATTAATTAGCCAATTAGAAAAGAGGAAATATTTCGAAGTTCAGCGGAAGCTTAGTGTCAGTGGCGCCAGATAGAAGTTAGGCTGCTGAGATAAGTTAATATTTTTGCATCCTCGAACATCCTAATTTTCCTCTACGACTTAGAGACATAAGCAACGACTTCGGTAAAAGTAGGCTAGGGACATCTGAGCGCCATCGAATATTGGTATTTTCTAAAGTTTCATGAATTCGTTTATATCACCGTGAGCTACTGCTTGAAATAATGCTGGTAGGCATGGGCTTAGCATTGCATGAGCCACGGGCAAGGACGATATACACACTGACTCATCAAGTTCATGATACCTCGTTTGTGAATCATAGGAAAACCAACGGCAGAAATAGATTTCCAGAGGTAAGGACTTATGGCCGAAAGACACCTTGAAAAGCGTATTTAGTCTCATATGATCACTTCCTCATAGCAAGCAATGGCATATGCCTCAAAATCATATGGCTTCACTCGCCGTGTATAGACGTAATTAATCTTGTCCAATCCATGGCACAGAGCTTCAACGTCAGTGATGCTCTTTTATATATGAGTGATAGAAGTGGTCACCAGATGATCCAATGAGTCGAGCAATTGGGATAAAAATAGACACCATTAATACCCCCAATATTCTGGAGATACTCCCGTAAGTCGCGCTTTTCGATGCCACCGGTCTGAGCACTATCCCTTCCCTTCACAGCATTTTCATGCCGCAATCTCGCGGATCCTTTGTTGCTGCATACCTTGGGAATCTTTTGAGCAGGCCAAAATTCCATGACTTCTGAGCACCTCCAATGTACGGATGCCAAATTACCTCTTAGTTGTTTCGGAAAATACGCCACCGAACTGAGTTTGGCGAAATAATAGCCGATCGACCACGAACTTAAAAATACCATATTCTGCTGGCGTGTATGTGCGTTAGTAATGCCCCTGTTGGTTCACAAACGCTGTCGTGCATGAGGTGAAGCGACAGAATATGAGATGAAATCTGTTGCTCTGGTTCTCAAAGTGGATCAGCGATCTTTCAGAGTAGAGCAACATGACAACCTGGAACGGCACACCGTTGTGTGGCAACTTTGAGACTGACGAACGAGACTGACATTCATTGGAGGTAGGTGACAACGAAATCAACCATTTTAAAAGGCGATCGTCATTATTTTTTATGACTCTAAGACATGCAAAACTTTAGAAACGAAAAGTTTCCTCGACTTAAACGTGCACAACGATTTTTCCTTAAACAACAATGCCATTGTGATTCCGCCAAATACCGAAGATTATGACCTTCACGTGAATAACGCGACCGACCACAAGCGTCTACGCAGTATATCGGGTAAACTTTTTTCGGTTCAAAATGTCTGGCAGCGTTTAAAAGTTACAGTAACTTGCTTTAAAGTTCCTGGCAGAATTTTACAATGATACGATTTTCAAAATTAATATTCGTTTAATCTGTCAATCAAAGTATGTGAGTTCCAGCAAGCTTCAAAATCGGATGGGTGCAGAGTTGGTCTTCCTAGAAGGATCCTTGGTGTATTCCGCAGTTACCTAGCTGTCGTTGTGACGAAAAGTACTATCAAGATATCGCATCTTAGATTCTCAGTTCGAGACTCACAGCTGAAGAATCGTTGGTCAGAATTTCAGACAGATGGACGTACTTTTTAATCTTGTGAGGAAAACAGAATGTACCGTTGCATTGGGCAAAAGGATATGAAATTGGGTTTTGCCGACCTGGCCTAATAGAATGTCATTCCTTCCAAAAGCCACACTGCCCGTTGTGTTCCAGGCTTCATTTGTTCAATAAGTCGTCGTCATCGAATGTGGGTGAGTATGCGAATAAGTGTGGGGACTGGAACACGAGAAAAAAATAGTTTATGCCAGAGTGTTTCACTGCTCGCTTTTATTTTAGCTGACTGTACAGCTTATGAAAAAAATTAATTTT